CCCCAAAACCCCAAAACCCCGTTATTGTATAATAAGCGAAGATTGAAGAGGCATGGTAAATTAATTAAGACAAGTTAATGACTATGATTTCCTTTAATAATTAATATACTAACTTATAACAAACGTCTAAACAGTTAAGCAAATATTCTAATATGTTATAGCCCTCAATTTTCAACTCAACGATTGAGTAGATGCAAGACCATATGATTCAAAATTAAAATATCAATAAAATCTAATAAAATAGCAACATAATGAGCAATGGTTGCTAAGAATCTAGCAATTAAATTAATGAAATTAAGAATTCAAGTGATCAGGATCGAGATAAATTTATACTTTAGAACATAGATGATCCTAAAATAACAACTAATTAAGGAAAAGTTAAGATCATTCAAAAACCAGCTACAAATATTGATAACTGTTCATCTGGGAGCGAGGATTTATTTAATGATGAGGATTCTTCAGTACTAAGTGAGTCCTCTCCATCATAAAAAAATAATAGAATATCTTGCAAAAGTAAAGTTAATTTTTCAAAACTGAGTAATGATGAGAAAGTAATGAGACTACAGAATATGGCAAATAAGATTAAAAAATTAAAGCAGCAGGTTAGATCACTTAAAAATTATAAAAGCAAGAAGGCACTTAAAGCAAAAGCTATTTTTGCTTCAATGCAAAATAAGACATTGACTCCAGTTTGCTAAAGCATAATATCCTAAATTCCTTCAACTTAGTAGATTGAATAAAAGTATTAATAAGAAAATTTAATAAATTAAGAAAAGTTTGCGGGACCTCCTGCCTCTTTCAAATAAAACTAAAAGTAATTTGGGTCATTGGACACAGACGGAATGGTTTAAACTATTCCAAATACAATCTCTGCTATTTCACAACACAATCCGGCTAATTAAATGCTTTCTGGATTGAGTTATCAATAGATACAAAATAATATGATGTTTGTCGGGAACTCTGTGACGTAAAGTAACTAAAACCTATAATAATAATAAAGATTAGTACAAAAGAGTGTAGTACTTCCGCTTCAAAACTAATAACAATTTAAATATGCTGCGCCTTACCCTAATAATAACCTTTTTGCTATTAACCAAACAAATTAATAAGAAACTTTGCAAATTCAGAATGATAAAAGTCTTCAATCAGTTAGTCTCAAAGACCATGTCAATAATCTATAATAGACTTCTTTGATTGGTAATATTAGTTATGAACAAGATAGTGCTTACTTAGGCTAAATTCAATCACTAAAATAATATAAACCATCCTCAAACCTTCAATCTATTTTAATGAACTGCAATCAAAATCAATAAATTTAGCACAATTTAAGGATAAATAACTCATAATTGCAAACATTGAATCATTCTAATAGTTTTTATAATACTCAAGTCCCTAGCAATATATCAAGTATATAATTGCAACCTGAATAATAAATATTACTCAATTAGTATACTTACGCTTAACCATAATGCTTAAAAATGGAGAAGCCGATGCCAAACTACTTTCCTCATTTCAACTAATGACAAATAATAAATGGCAAATTTGATTTAGCGACTTATCGCAAGCAAAGAAAAATATTAAATAGAAATTTATTGCAGTAATTTAATTTGCAAAACTATGATAACTTAATTGATATTGTCTAAATCTTCATTTAATAACAAATATTCTATATTATATACAATAATTTCTCTTCTAAAATATCCATATTCTGCATTACGGGGTTTTGGGGTTTTGGGGTTTTGGGG